ATCTCATATTTGCATACCATGGTGGCAAACCTAACGCAGCGTCATTTGACATGGCAGTTTGCATTTGTACATCTGTTGGCACTTGACCATAGTTTGCCATTGCAGTTTGTATTCTAACTTCATTTGGAATATTCTCTGGGTTTGGTTGTCCAGGTTGCTGTGCATTCGCTAAGTTCTGTGCGTCCATTTAATATTAGATAAAAATATCTCTTACGAGTACATATACTGGACATTTGCAGGCATTGGTTCATCTTCATATTCTCTGTACTTTTCTGCCACGTCAAAGAAATAAATGACACAATGGAAAAAACCTAAAACAAGTAGTCCTATTTCAAACCACATTTACTTACTAGTAAAATTTCTTTGTTATGACACTTTCTCGGTTTATAGGACCTCTCTCATATTCTATCTTGTCATATCTAAACTCATAGTCATGTATGTCCTCTAACCATCTCATAACGGTTTCCAAACCACTTTTATCGGATGTAAAGTAAAAGCATGGACAGTTATGTAAAACGTCTAAAGTTTCTAAAGAGTCTCTCAAAGTCCAGTCTACTTGGTATTGAAAATCCCATGTGTTATAGAACGGCGGGTCCACTATAAAGAAAACATTTTCCTTGTCTTTATATTTTTCATACAACTCTGTCCAACGACATCTCACAAACTCTATACCCTCAATATATTTTTCTATGTCCTCTTTGAAAACCTTTGTATAGTTAAGATATAAAACATTTGACATAAGTGTTTCAATGTCATGAACTCTTATAGAACCACTATATAATAGTCTAGCAGATATACTATCCCAGTCTATATATTCTGCTTTTTTCAAAACCTCTCTCACAATATTTTTCTTATCTAATGGTATACGTTCCATCTTACCTATAGGTATCTTTTCTTTTAACTCTTTCAATATTTTGTTAGTGTCTGGAATATGTTTGAGACGGTCCATATAGTTGTCGAAGTCATTGCATATAATCTTTGAGTCTGGGAATATTGTATGGCACAAATGGGATATATAGAAACTTCCACCGAACAAATCTACAAATGTTAGACCATTCGGTAGTTTCTTAAGTTCTCTCAATAGAATATCTTTACATCTACTCTTATTTCCAAAGAAGGGTAACGGTGGTTTTGTAAAATTCATTTATATATAATAATAAAAATGTTTTTTCCTGAAAAGTGACAGAAAAGGCTTCTCAAAGTATACTTCCTTGGAACGCCTGTAACTTTTCCTGTAGCGACGATAGACCCTTACTTGTCCGGACAAAGTTATACTATTTTGAGTGCTCTACCAAAAATTTTTTATGGGCTAGAGGGCGCAACGCGCCTGGAAGCCCCCAGTACCCAAACTTCATTTATACTAAACATCTTCAGGGCTAGAGGGCACGAAGTGCCTGGAGGCCCCACTACCCTTTTTTTTTTTTTAATGGTTTAAAGTAAATGGAAATATTAAGTACGCATGACCCTTAATTGATTAATATCTATTCAAAATATATCATTTACATGGGGTTTATAACTATGAATCATATTATTTCTTGATAAAATAAACGTACATTTATTATGAATTATGAATTACTCTACATGTGGAAATTTTATACGAAATCATAACGATTATTTTTGATTCAAAATTAATTTTTCCAAAATTTCATTTATAAAGCATAATGAGTTACGAATATTTAAACAAGTATGATGATTTTATAAATACATATGATATGCTCTATCACTTACAACCAAATCATTCAATTGATGAGTTTTTTCAACAGATCCAAACAATTTTAATTGAAAAATACAAAGTTCAAGTTGATCAAATCATCAGAAACTTAGTCAATGCGTGCAAATGGAACTACAGATCTATTGATTCTTACATCAAAATCCTCAACATGCTTTTCACGAAGTATTCACAAAAAACACAAGATATTAAGAAGATTTTTCGTTTTGGCATTAACAATGATATGAAATACAAATCAAATGATGATGAAATCTGCGTTATTGAATCGGATGCAAACTATGATGAAATTGATTTAATAATAATGAATGATCAAATAGACAAATTTAAAGAATTTCTTATTGGCAAATCTCCAGAAGACATTAAAATATATACTTCTGATTTTTCATTAGATGTTCTTGAAGCATGCGCATATTTTGGATCAGTTAATATCTTTATTTATCTTATTTCAGAATTGAAATATCAAATCACTTATGAATGTCAACAATTTGCAGTTATTGGTCGAAATACTGATATTATCAATGAATGTATAAAAAACCAATATATTCACAACCAGAGCTTAGAGTATGCAATATTATCTCATAACAATGACTTTATTGAAGACATTATTCGGAAAAATTTGATTGATTTTAAATTTTTTAAGGATGGACACTCATAGGCTCCTGACAGCATAAAAATGTTATTATCTCACAATATAAAAGGAATCATAGGAATCTACAACTATATCTATATTGTTGGAAGACTTCTTAATGTATCATGCATATAAGTTATATCAATAACTCCATTATGTTATATGATTGTAATCATATTTTCGTTTCATGTTCAAAAACATTAAAATCATACTAACTATATGAGTATTATATTTAGGAAGCTGATATATAGATATGATAAAATGCTAGGTTTTGTGATTAAGAATATATACTTATCTTTTAGATTATATCTTATATAATCTAAAAATTTTGGACAATTAAAAAACATTAATTAAAAATAGAAGGTGAAAGTGTTTATTCAAAGAAGGTGCAAGATTATGATGTTTTGAGGGTGAAATAAATTTAATAATTATTTATGTGATTTCAGAGTAATACAATCATCGGTAGCTTGAAGACCTCTCTTTATAGCTCTTAATGCCGCAAACTTTTTTTGAACTTGCTTTGAATTTTTGAATGCTTTGATTAAATCTTTTGTTGTATCATACATTCTGAAATATCTGTTCATCATTTCTGGCATTGTTGGTAAATTTAACCTGTATCTTATTGCTACAATCGTTTCAAACATACTTTCATTGAAATGCAATATTGTGACTGCCATCCTAATTGGCCAAGAAGCATGCCAATTAATATTTTTATTAGCAAGCATTGCTTTGATATGGTTTATCGATTCAACTACTTGAGTTGAATGAATCTTTTTTACCATATCAAAGATTTTTACGGTATCTTCGAGGAATTTTTTAAATGTTTTTATAGCAGTTTTATTTTTTGCATATTTCCATGGTTTAATCATCTTGCATTTTTCAGGATCTGGACAAAATTTATGATTTCCGGCATAATGTTTAGCGGAATTCAACCATAAAAACTTCTTTGTTTTAATTGACATATGTGTGTCATTGAGAAGTTGCCTAAGCCAACGCAATAAATTCTTTGAAATGCTAGATAAGATTCTGAATTCTGGCAGTTTGAGCTTTTTCTGTATATTGTTAAGAAAATGTCCAGGATCTCTGTATTCTCTGATACCTTTGAACGTATTTTTGATTGTAGAAACAATTTTGACATCGCCATCATGCACAAAAAAATTTACACGTTTTTCATTATTCCAACGCTTCAGCATTCTTTTTAAGCCTTCAAATTCCATTTCATTTGATTTTCCGTTGAAATTACCTTTGAAATTTTTAAAAGATTTAGATATCACTTCCCAATCTACAATTTTTTTGAGTTTCTCTTCTACAAATTGTACATAGCAAAACATTGCATTTCTTCTCTGACTCCAAGAACCGTCAAACAAAAGTCCCGAACATTTTCTCATTCGAGATTTCCAATAATTAACAGATTCTCTGGCAACTTCTATGATAACACGACCAACCTTTTCTTGGACTCGATGAAATGTAGCTTCTGACGGAACTTTGATGTTATTCAGCATGAATTGAAATTCTGATTGGCAAAATGTAGCGCCGCTCAATAATACAGATAGCACAAATTCAACAGTGTTGACGACATATGGCTCTACCCTATTTTTCGCGCTTTGAACTAAGTTCTTTATACGCTTTGCAACTGCTTTTGTTCGCCGCGGCATGAAAAATGAAGAATAACTTGACGGTTTCTTGAACAAATGGTCGCGCATTCAAATATTGTGATGTACGATCAGGATAAAAGAATGTTGTTGCCGTGAATTTAGAAAATAGCAAAATTTCAATTTACGCAATCGAGATATAACTTGATCGTTTGAGCGATAACCATGGCACCCATAGTATTAATGAAAGTACTCATACTTACAATTATTTTCTCCCATAGGAATATTGTTCAATATACTTCACCTATAGAGGAAATCTCGAAATAAAATCGAATTTTTTCAAAAATTACAAAAATCAATTTTTTACAAAGATGTTCGAAAAATAACATTATATACGCATCAAATCAAAGCATTATATGGAGCATTATAATTCTATATATGATTGTCCATCTTGCTGTTGTGCTATTTTTTTTAAACAATAATTTCATTGTTGAAATTAAATTTGCAATTTCAGTAAAAATTGCGACACATCATTTTGAATATAATTGAATTAATACATTTATTGTAAGAATATTATATACCAAATATTAGACTTCCACATGAATCCTGGTATGATATTATAAGTATTGCAAAATTAGAAAAAAATATGCTCATGATATACTAAAATTCATGTTTCAAGGTTAACTTATAAATAAAATAAGTTCGAGAAATGCATCACTAAATATTTGAGCTTGTGCACTATAATGCTATATAATAGTCTTCACTGTTTTTAATATATTGACTTTGCTAGACTTGATTTTTTTCATCACCCTAATGAGTGCCCATCCTTAATGAATTTATAATAGTCGATTCTATGAATTTGAAATTATTCTTCATAATGCTTTAAAAAGACAAAAATTCAATTGTACCATTGTGTGCAGCATTTCCACAATGTGCCGAAATATTCAAAAATGAAAATCTTGATTTGAATAAGGTTAATTCAGATGGTTTCAATGTTCTCCATTTTGCTTCCATTTATAACAATATCGATGTTTGTAAAATCATATTAAATATGTCCCCTGATTGTCATCAAATCATTAATGCAAGGACAAGGTCTAGAGATACACCTCTGCAGTTTGCTGCCCGTGGAAATTATAAAGATATAGTTGAACTTCTAATTTCGCATGGAGCAGATGTTGATGCAAGAGATAATTCAAATTGTACAGCACTTCATGATGCAATGGCCAATAATAATAGAGAAATTGCCAAATACCTTATTTTACATGGCACCGATGTCAATCTAATCGATTATAATTTCAAAACTCCCCTATTCTATGCTATTCAAAATAATGATAATGAAATTGCTGAACAGCTTATTTCTCACGGTGCAGATATTAAGTCAGTTGAAAAATTTAAGAAAAAATGTGCAATTCATTTTGCCGCTGAGGTAAACAATAAATTTATTGTAGAACTTCTGATTTCTCATGGTGCAAATATCAATGAAGAAGGTGATGAAAAAGAAACACCTCTTCATTATGCTGTCAAAACAAAAAGTAAAGAAACAGTGCAATTTCTGATTTCACATGGGGCAGACATTAATGCAAAAAATTTCCAAAATAAAACAGCTCTTCATTTTGCTGCAAAGAATAATGATTTAGAATCAGTAAAACTTCTGATTTCCAATGGTGCCGAGATCAATGCAAAAGATTCTCAAGATAGAACAGCCCTTCATTATGCAGCAAAGAATAATAATAAAGAAATAGTTGAATTCCTTATTTCTCATAGTGCAGATATCAATGCGCATGATAAATTTAAAAAGAGAACTGCTCTTCATTTTGCCGTTAAAAATAACAACGAGGAGCTCACAGAATTTCTTATCTCGCATGGAGCAGATATCACTGCGAAAAATGATAATGATGAAACTCTTGTGCATATCGCTGCAATAAATAATAGTACGAAATCGCTAACAATACTAATTGCGCATGGTGCAGATTTGAATGCAAAATATCTTTCCAAGAAAACCGCCCTTCATATTGCCGCAAGAAATAATTTTACAGAAATAGCAAAACTTCTTATTTTACACTCCGCAGATGTCCATGCAAAAGATCTTTCTGAGAAAACCGCCCTTGAAATTGCAAGAGAATTTTGCTGTGAAAATATTATCAATCTACTCAACTCATATGGGGTTTCTTCATAATATATTCTTAATTGATCCTAATCTTTTGCATATTAAAATTCTTTATTTATTGCTAATTGATTTGAAAATGCTTATTAAGATAAGAAATATGAATTATATGAATTAATTTTTAAACTATTTGTTCTCAGTTTGTTCATAACTATTACTCTATTTATGCACAACAAATCATTTAAAACTTAATTATGGATTGATATTTTCTTGCATAATTAGAAATTTCGGAAAAACGAGTAAAAATATTGGAGATAAATAACGATTATTTTTGATTCAAAATATTATCTATCAAAAAGTTCTGTTTAATCCCATAATGAGTTACGAATATTTAAATAAGTATGATGATTTTATAAATACATATGATACGCTCAATCACTTACAACCAAATGAGTCAATTGAAGAGTTTTTTCAACAGATTGAAACTATTTTAATTAAAAAATACAAAGTTTCAGTTAATGTAATCATCAGAAACCTAGTCAATGCATGCAAATGGAACTACAGATCTATTGATTCTTATATCAAAATCCTCAATCTTCTTTTCAATAAGTATTCACTTACAACAGCTGAAGTAACTAAATTTTTAATTGAAACCAGATTCGAAGGAATGAAAATTACATCAAATAATAATGAAATTTTCGTTTTCGAAAAGGATACAACTGATGATGAACTAAATATAATGATAATGTATGATCAAATCGACAAAATTAAAGAATTTTTCATTAATATCTCACCAGAAGACATAAAAATAAATATTCTTAGCTTTTCATTTGATGTTCTTGAAGCATGTGCATATTTTGGATCAATTAATATCTTTATTTATCTTATTTCCAATTTCAATTATAAAATCAGTGATAAATGTCTCAAGTATGCAGTTATTGGTCGAAATACAGACATTATCAATGAATGCTTGAAAAATAAAAAAGTTGACTTGGATATCTTAAAGGATGCAATATTATCTCATAACAATGACTTTATTGAAGACATTATTCAAAAAAATTTAATTCGTTTTGGTACATTTATTTTATTTGGCATTATCGATTCTAGAAATTTGAAATTATTCTTCATAATGCTCAAAAAAGACAAAAACTCAATTGTACCATGGTGTGCAGCATTTCCACAATGTGCTGAAATATTTAAAAATGAAAGTCTTGATTTGAATATAACTGATTCAGCCCAAATGAATGTTCTTCATATTGCTTCCTATTATGGCAATACTGATGTTTGCAAAATAATATTAAACTCATCTGTTGATTATCATCCACTCATTAATGCAAAGGGATTGTATAAACAAACACCTCTTCATTTTGCATCGCGTGCAAATTGTAAAGAAATCGTTGAGCTTCTAATCTCACATGGGGCAGATATTAATGCCAAAAATAAAACTAATTATACAGCACTTTATTATGTTACTATGCAAAATAACAGTGAAATTGCTTCACTCTTAATTTCACATGGGGCAGATGTCAATGCAAAAAATAATTCTGATTTTACACCACTTTATAATGCTGTTATGAAAAATAACAGTGAAATTACTGCACTCTTAATCTCACATGGGGCAGATATCAATGAAAAATATAATTCTGATTTTACACCACTTCATTATGCAGCTTTATGTAATAGAAGTGAAATTGCTTCATATCTTATTTTACACGGCGCAGATATCAACGCACTCACTGATAAATCAAATACACCTCTAGTCTTTGCAATTTTAGGTAATAACAATGATACTGCTGAACAACTTATTTCTCATGGTGCAAATATAAATTCAATTGAAAAACAATCAGGAAAAAGACCAATTCATTCTGCTGCTTTACTTAATAATAAGCTTATTACAGAACTTCTATTCTCTCATGGTGTAGATATTAATGCGACTGACAATGCAAATATAACGCCTCTTCATTATGCTGCAAAGAGCAATGGTAAAGAAACTGCAGAATTTCTAATTATGAATGGTGCGGATGTTAATGTAAAATGCAATGAAAATAAAACACCACTTCATTACGCAGTCGAGGTGAATAACAAAGAAACCATAAAACTTCTAATTTCTCATGGTGCTGATATCAATGCAAAAGATAATCTAGATCAAACACCTCTTCATTATGCAGCTAAGAATAATAATAAAGAAATAGTCGAATATCTTATTTCACAAGGTGCAATTATCAACGCAAAGGATAATCGTTTGAAAACTCCTCTTCATTTAGCAGCTAAGAATAATAACAAAGAAATAGCTGAACTACTTGTTACAAACGGTGCAGATATTAATGTACAGGATAATCTTAAACAAAGAACGCCTCTTCATTATGCAGCCAAAAAGAAAAATATAGAAGTAGCAGAATATCTGATTTCTCACACTTCAAATATCGACATACAGGATGTTTCTGGAAATACTGCTTTTCACTATGCCGCTATTAATAATAACTTTGGACTTTCGTGGCTTCTTATCTCACATGGAGCAAATATTTATGTGAAAAATAATAATGGAGAAACCCCTGCAGATTTAGATAAATTACAAAATAGATCGGAATATGAATTTTTAAGGAACTTTTCTTAATTACGTAGCACTTTGTTGTTTCAATTTCAAAATTAATGAAATAAAGGAAAATACAGCACCAGCAATCGAAAGTATCATCAAATATTTATCTTAGAATCTTCTTTTGATCTTATTCTCAGATCAATTAAGAATGTAAACTCGTTTTCATGGTTTTAGTCCTCATAATTCACACTCTTACATAAAATTGAGAGAATTATGCTGAATGAAACTGAATTGGAAACGGAATTTGTAAAAATGAAATTGAAAATTCAAGCTTTTATATTAATAAACTTATTGTTTTTATCTTTCGAAATACTAAGAAAATATGATTATATTAATTTTACTTTATTTTGTAAATTAATTAAAAGAAAAAATAAATAAAAGAGATTTAAAAATCACTATATGTAAAAAACGATAAATTACTTAGAATTGCAGTGGTTGTATGTTTCCTTGTATGCTTCAAGGAAGTCAGAGAACTTCGCGATTTTGACGCCTTCGCCTACGGCTTGGAGGTTCAAATCTTCACCATTAAGAGCGCATCTGATGTAGAGCTCCTTTGTTTCGTTGTCCTCCCAGAGTTCCATTGCGAGATGCGAAGCATATCCAGGAATTCTGTCAACCTTGGCGTTTGGACCTTCGATGAGAGTCTTAATGACCATGATTGTAGTATCGTGGGCTGAGAATAAGCCGAATTTGACCTTTGTCTCGTTCTTTGCGAAAGCTGTTGGAATTCTAAGTAATTCCTGCATTGTATATGATCCGGGGACCCAGTGGTTCTGTATATAAAGGTTGTAGGCGTAATCTGAGATAGCTCTGAGGCAGACTCTTTGGATTTCTGGGGTTACAACATTTGGTGCTTGTTTATCTGAGCAATATTGGGTTGCAACCCAGTCGCATGCGGTATTTACATTATCGCCGGTCTTCTCGAGCTTAAGGAAGTCCGTAACGTTCTGGATTTGTGGCCAAACTGTATCTGTCCAGTTCTTGAACTCATCTGTTGCCTCCCAGTCTTGGTAGAGCTGGTAGACCTCTGGGCAGAAGGCGAAGTTGAAGCGGAGACGGGAGAAGTCTGATGTATCTGTTACGATTTCTAAAATTTCATTCGGAGATTGAGGTGGGAACAAGCCATGGAGAAGAGACTGCGCGGAACGGAATGTACGTTCGATATCTGTGCAGCGAGCATAGATTGTATCTGGACTTGGTGGAAGTTCTTCATCACTGAATAATTTGTTATCATCGTAGATATATTTATGGTAAAGTTGGCCGAGAGCTCTGTGTTGCTCCATGCCAGAAAGAAGAAGGTCGCCGGAACGGCAGTTTGGTAAGTATTCAACTAATCTTTGATCAAGAACTTGTTTAAAGCGTCTGAAATGAGAAACAGGGGCAGCATGCATTCTTGGAGCAAGTGCATCATCAGAATCGCACTGCCAGTATCCTCTAAAATGCATTGGCATGTTAAATGCGTTTAATGGTGAACGTGCACCGTGCCTAGTGAGGATTTGAACGTATTTTAATGTTTTCCCAGGTACAGGGGCTGGTGTTTTCAGTGCACCAACGCACTGTTCATCGAAAGAAAGCCCTAAATTAAATAAGATCTGAAACATGAAAACTATGAAAAACTGACAAGAATCTAACTGGTTAGTGACAGATTCGTCAGAAAGACGATTTTATTAATAATCTATTATCTCTATCACATGTTAACTCAAATCGATATAGAATTTGCTCAAAAATCTTTAAAAATGTCAAAACAATTGAAACAATCAAAACAACTAGAAACTTATGAACTAGTAATGAGCATCTGTGTGATGCACGTAACAAAATGATTTTTGGATCAGCCGCAAATACAAACCTTTTTCCTCACTCTCACTCGCTTTATCAGAAGGAAAAAAAATTGACTATTTTTTTGAAAACATTTTTTGACCACGAGATAAAATCTACTTCTTCGGATGATGATATTTTCCCGTATTTTCCAAGTGACTTTTGAAATAAGAAATCAGGAATTTGTCAAACAAACCTTTTCAAAATGTCTATTGATCAATCAATGTTAGTTTCACGAATTGGCATGTACAACACATAAGACATAGAATCAAATAAAATCGATGTCAAAAAGAAAAAAGAAAAAAATTTAAAAATGTCCAAAAATAGGCCATAACTTATATTTCTACGATGTTTAACTCAGCAGAGTGGAAAAGAATGTTAATTCACCTATCTAATATTTCAAGAAATGACGGTTTATCTGAAAATGTGGACTAACCGCCGAATCTATCATTTCATAAATGCCAAAGAACTTAAAGGTTGTCGTTGTTGGTGATGGTGCTGTCGGTAAAACCTGCCTTCTCTGGAGCTATGCCAAGAAAGAAATTCCACCAGAGTACGTCCCAACAGTTTTCGACAACTATGTCGTTCATCTCGAAGTAAATGGTGAAGAAGTTCATCTTCAATTATGGGATACAGCAGGTCAAGAAGAACTTGAAAACATCCGTATCCTTTCATATACCAACACCGACGTTTTCCTTGTTTGCTTCTCAGTTTGCGATCCAAACTCTTACGAGAACGTACAGAATATCTGGCTCAAGGAGCTTAAGAAGCATGTTCAGAACCCAGTTTATCTTCTCGTCGGCACCAAGTCTGATCTTCGTAATGATGACGCCACACTCCAGTCCCTTGCACAGACAGGCAAGAGTCCAGTTACACACCAGGCCGGTGAGAAGCTCGCTAATGAAATCAAAGCTATCGGGTACGTAGAGTGCTCTGCTATTAAGCAAGAGGGTGTTAAAGAAGTCTTCGATGCTGCTATGAAGCATGCTCTCAAACCAAAGAAGAAAGGCTGCGTTCTTATCTAAATTGGTGATTTTTTTTCCTTCATATTAACTATATGAATTTAATTTAAAGATTTTTAAGTTTATATATCAATTACGTAAATGATTGGAAGTAGAGAAAATGGTACCCGCCTTCCGATCTGTTTTGAGCTGATTTTTGCAACCACTATATTTACGAAATTTGGGGAAACTCGAACTCTCTTCCGTAGAAAGATATGTTCGGTAGATCTACAATCCAAATGTATTCACAAAAGATGGTTTTCTTTTAAAATAATACAAACATAATTTTATTCAAACAAAAAAATACAAGTATCATTAAAGAACTTATATCGATTTTGCCTCGTATGAACTATTACCTTTGTTATTGCTGCTTTCCGTAGTAGTTTCTGTCAATGTCGTGTTAGTTGTTGCTTCAGCCGAACTTTTTGGCGAAGGAGTTGACGAAAAGTAATTGTTTTGGATTGGAACCGGATCTTCTATGTCGGACGTGGAATGTTTATCCTCTTTCAAGTTATTATGATCGCTGTCTGATCGCTTTTTCTTGAAATAACAAACGAGTGAAATTATTACGATAACAGCAACGAGAATACATACGACAATCAATGCAATATGGAGATCTGAGAGTTTTCTAGGGTTTTGGTCGGGCTGGGTTACATTTATTTTTTCTTCTTCTACCCCATAATTCGTTATTCTTGGAGCGCTTGTGTACTTTGCGAATGGGAAGTCCATGTAGCTCCTTGTTCCCCTGAACATTCCGCCTAACTCCGTGGTTGCAATGGAAGATGGTTTGATTGTCTCGATTGAAGCTCCGCTTTCTGGGATTCCATCAACATCATTATATGTAATCCATTTAGCAATTACCGAGCGCCCTCTGATCCTATTAAAAGTTGATGGGGTCGGAAATTGTCCAAATCTCTCTGGAATCAACGAAAACGTGTTTCCGTCCTCGAGTTCATCATGGTATAATGTGATTTGGAATGGAGAAGATGCGGCATACCATATACAAACTCTCTGATTTGCTGCAATCGAGAAATTTACTGGGATTGAATTGAAACTATCTGCTTTATAACTAATGGACATTGAGTTCTTGTCATTGTCCGCTACAGCAACTACGTCAAAAGAGTTGCAATTTGGTAAAACATCAGAAGTCTTTCGATAATTGAAGACACTGATATTAAGGTATTTCTCTACATCATCTTTGAGAGGTAATATACGGATTGTAAGTCTCATATCTGTTACATTTATAACATAACTTTGATCTGAGAGGAATGTCTGGCCACTTCCGGTAGCAATAAAGTTCCTTGGATTGTGGAAGACATATAATGAATACCTGTTAAGGTAAACTTCGGAACCGTTGTGTGGAATGTAATAATGATAAAATCCGGTCAAAAATCTGTAAAATAGCTTTGGATATTCAACAACTGTTTGTGATGTAAACTCTGTAATGTATTTGTTGTTGAATGTTTCGCCAGGAACTGTTGAAGAAACGATTTCGCATTTCTGAAGACAAATTACGCAATTTGAGGAATTATCTGCGGCAGAAATATGGAAGAAATATGAGTTGCCTCTTGTGATGAATCCATATTCATTGGAAAGCCTTGTTCTGATGTCAGCATTTGGAGCATAAATCGTCAAAGCATCTCCGAGGTTCTGAACGTATATATAATAATCTATAATATATGGAGATGTAAGGATGAAGCATTGCTTGTCACAGGGAGGGCCAGAAATGAGAAATTGAGTGTCATAACCATCAAAGATCGTCACATCCTTGCAATATACGTATGGACGGGTTAAAACAGAAAAATGTATTTTGTGGGAAGCTTCAGTAGGAGTTATTTTGATCTCTGCCATTTCGGTAAAATAATAAGCTCCGTTATCATATTTCTGAGCGTCAACAGGGGCTTCAATTGTAAAGTATTGATGATTATGGACCAATAAGTAATGATATGGTAGGATATCAAAAACAAGAGAATTATCAACTTGTAATGAGTGTTCTCCTGTTGCAATGAACTTATCTGTTTCGAATACAGATATTGACCCTTGTAACTGATAACTATCGGTTCGATAAAATAATGCGAAAGAAGCACACGTAAAAGTATATAAATCAAACGAATTCATTTGATATAGCAGGTTATTATTGTTTGAATATATTAAAACTCTATCATCTGTATCAAGATCGATGGTTTTGATAGTAAATGATGTTTGTTCTATATCAGTTGCAAAAAATGCAATGCACACAAGACTATTATCTTGCATCTCATCTGATCCTAACCTATAAAATGTTGAATATTGTGTTTTCCATCTACAAGAGCCAGAAGGAGTATTTAAGACACCTATTGTTATTGTAATTTGCACTTGGTTTATTGGGTGAATCGTTACTTTTCCTGATGGAGGAACATATATATCATGTGTTGTAATGTCTATTTTAGATATATCTGGAAAATATACAATAGAAGAAGTTGTTGGAAAAAGCGTAATCCCATCTGGAGGGATAATGATATCCTGCGGAAATCCTGGTGAAATTTGTGTTTCTGAGATTTCCGCAGTACAAGTTATGTAAAATAGAATAAACAAAAGAAAAGTAAAAATTCAATGAACCATGAATCAATTGAAAGGAAAATGGTATTTTGTGAGATGTGATTTGGATTTGTGAGAAGGAAAATTATCGATTTCAAAATGTATAGTCCATAAGAAAGAATTAATAATCTTATAAATTTTGTAAAGCCGATAGAACGTTAGAGGGAAAAAGTATGACTGTATTACGACATTTGATATGATTTCGAAAAATATAATAATTGAATACCATTCAATTTATAGAAATTAGCATGATTATAATCCGCTCTGTTCTACAATAAATGGTACATATTTAAATGCACTATAGATTAAAGGGAATTACAGTAGAGAGTTGAGCCATTTCTAGGTGATCGTTCGTTATGAATTCAAGAAATTTTTCATCAAATAAAAAGAAATACAATAAGAAAGTATTTCAAATATTATCAAAATAAATCATATGAGATTAATATACGATAAAATTTCATAAATGCGCATTATTTTATATGAATAAAACAAATTAAGACCAAATCAAAAAGAAACATAATGTTACCAAGTCTATATGCTTATATGATATAAGAAATGATATTAATAATTGATTTTGAATTTAAAATGTGAAAACAGAAAATAAAAAAGAAACAAAATAAACCCCAAATTTTGGGTCTATCTTTGTAATTTGATAATGCTAATTTGTTAAAACGTGCGAATTTCACATTCAAAATTGAATGCATTCAAAAGATAAATATATCGATTTTTAAATTAGCTAACATCCAAATAAATTAAGTTTAAGAATATAAAAAAGTTGAATATTCATTGAAACATTTTCAATAGAAAGTGCGCAGGATTGTATTTCTATATGATGATGTACACAGTATTTAGAATATATGTTTGATAAAAGAAAACGTTATCACCTTTATCAAAACTGAAAAGTGACAATATAATCAACGGTTATATTTATTTTTTGAAACAAATTGATTCTCAAATATTGTGAGTAACGTGGTATGAAATAATTTTTTTATTACCATTTGCTTTTTAATAATGAATTCATAGTTTTTTCACATCCGATGCTAATCCGACCAAATTGGGTTAAATTGTAATGTGATAGAGCTGACTTTGTTATTATTTCTTTTCTTATTATAGGATATTCGTATTTCCATTAAAATATTTATGATTTTTCGATCATTTTAATACCCTACATTCCCAACTTCTGGGAAACGGTTTTTCACCCTTATGATCAGTTTCAGACACTTTGGGAGTCTCCCAAACTTTGATATTTTGCATTATGATAGAGAAACGTGTCTAGTTTAACGCACAGTTGTTTTAAAGGCAAATGATGATATCACATGAAATTATCAAATTATCAAATTTTGAAGTACCAGTCCAAAGGGTTAATTAGATCCTACACAGATGTGCGATAGGGAAACATATGTGTTCTTGATTTGAGAAGTCCTACTGATAGAGGTATGAATCTCACAGCTTTGTGTGAGTGTGTCTGACACTTGTATAGAGTGGAATATGCGCCGACATATATTATATAATAACATGTAGTTGATAATTATGAAAAAATAGAATTCGATGCGAATGATATTGAAAGTTGTTTTGTAATTTGATATTTTTCTTATATGTGTTAATTAGTAAATGGCTTGTTTGTTGTGATAGTACTGTGAAAAATGAAAGGTATTTTAAATTAAAAAATTGAGATTTTGAGATATCTCTAGAATTAAGAATTTATTATGTATTTGACTTTTATATAACTATGTGTAAAGGATCTCGATGTCTATATGCTTTAAATAAAATTAAATAAAATGAGATAAAAAATTAAAATGGACAAGAAGATATATGGAAATGTAATTTGTATTGTGTTGGTTGTTGGCAAAATGATTTTAATACAGATTTAAGGATTTGGAATGGATTTGAAATTAAATGATTTTAATTCAAGGAGTAATAAGATTTTGAAACTGGTTTTTATTTTGTGAATGTAAACTCCTTCCATAGGATATGTATTAGAAAGATCAATGTCAAACTTTTTGAAAGAATTGTTTTTTTGTTGAGCGATTTTCTCATATTTAATAATATATTTAAGTTGGCGTATCTTACGCCCTTCCAAAAATATGTATTAGAAAGATGACTTATAATTTCATAAATTATTTTGTCCCGACGGTTTGAGCGGTTATCAGAATGGTTGCTTACACAATGCGTCAGCAAAATGTCGGTTGGGGTGCCCTTCTTGGCCTCCTGAGTACTCACCAAGATACCCCCAGCTCCCGCAAAACACCTCCCTTAGGTGCGCATTACCTGACGGCATTATTTTGCAATTATTTCAAATTTTTTAGATGCCTTTTGTTAAAGTTTGTTAACTAAAGACTTGAAAACAGCTTACCGCTTCAAGCTGCTCTCTTCCCGGTTCCTCTGCCGCAATCTTCTGTTTGATTGTGCGCAAAGCTCTCCTCCTTGTGAACTTTGCCTGACAGATACACCTGGGAGACAGCATTCGGACATCTTACCGCTTCAAGCTGCTCTCTTCCCGGTTCCTCTGCCGCAATCTTATGTCTGATTGTGCGCAAAGCTCTCCTCCTTGTGAACCATGGCTGATAGAAAGAACTGAAAGACAGGATAGGAGGAACATGCCGGTTCAAGTTAACTTGCAATATGCTTCTGATTAGTGATTTTAGATGAAAGATTAGCGAAATCGCATTTAATTTGGATAGAAGGATTCAATTTTATGAAGCAGGCTCGTAGAAAATATGCAGGAATAGCACAATCTTTTGCAATCACAATGTGATTACAAAACTTTGACCGACAAGAGTGCATAATACACTCTTGTCGGTCTGCATGTCTCATTCCGGGAGACATTGTCACTGCATGTCTCCCAGAATGAGACAATCTTCTGCAATCACAATGTGATTACAAAACTTTGACCGACAAGAGTGTATTATGCACTCTTGTCGGTCTGCATGTCTCATTCCGGGAGACATTGTCACTGCATGTCTCCCAGAATGAGACAATCTTCCGCATTCATAATGTGGTTGCAAAATTTGACCGACAAGAGTATACACTCTTGTCGATCTAAATGTATCTTACAATCAAAGACACTTTCATACAATCTTTTCGAAGTTAAAAAAAAAAAATTAATTATTTCTTTCTTTTGTTTATTAAATCGCCTTACTCACGTACTAATCTCTTTTAGAGACTCTATCGAGCTATCCCCACATATAAACCTGTGACAATAATACATATTTACTCTCTTCATATTCTGATCTCATGACACATTATCGCAAAAACTATAATTATACAACACATCTCATAAAGTCTCATTTTAGCCCTATCTAAGCGTTCAAAACCTATTTTCCACACGTAATCTGATTCTTCTGGCTCCGCTGATTCGATTTCTGCTGTCAGATCGTGAAAATATGCATCACATAAAGAGATAAATGCAAATTGCACAACTTAATATTTTCCTTAAAATTTCACAACTTCAACCTAAATAAGCTCTTTTTTTGAAAATTCAATTTTTTCCAAAAATGTATGAATTCAAAAGTTCAGATTATATCTAGTCATTTTCCAACATTAATTTTGTGTTTTAGTTTTTGAGATATTCATTTTATTATACGTATTATTCAGAAAAATAAAAGAATTTGTGAGGGGAAACGGAGGAGATAATAAATATGTAAAGATGGATGAATAGACAATTTGAAAAAAAAAGCAATAATTTTGAGTTGTGTTTATCTCTTTATGTGATGCATATTTTCACGATCTGACAGCAGAAATCGAATCAGCGGAGCCAGAAGAATCAGATTACGTGTGGAAAATAGGTTTTGAACGCTTAGATAGGGCTAAAATGAGACTTTATGAGATGTGTTGTATAATTATAGTTTTTGCGATAATGTGTCATGAGATCAGAATATGAAGAGAGTAAATATGTATTATTGTCACAGGTTTATATGTGGGGATAGCTCGATAGAGTCTCTAAAAGAGATTAGTACGTGAGTAAGGCGATTTAATAAACAAAAGAAAGAAATAATTAATTTTTTTTTTTAACTTCGAAAAGATTGTATGAAAGTGTCTTTGATTGTAAGATACATTTAGATCGACAAGAGTGTATGCACTCTTGTCGGTCAAACTTCCCACAGTTATGAATGCGGAAGATTGTCTCATTTTGGGAGACATGCAGTGACAATGTCTCCCAGAATGAGACATGCAGACCGACAAGAGTGCACAATACACTCTTGTCGGTCAAACTTCCTAATACAAAATTTGATTCCCTTATTATCTTCTTAACAAAACTTAAGATTTCAATAATACATCATGAAAACATTCATTTACTACATTCACACTGTTATTCCTTTCTATAAATTAACTCATTTAATAGAATCTTGTTTTTATATCTTATTATTTTCTCATAATACTTCTAATTCCTCTATTTCCTCTTCCACATAAAATTTAATTTTGTAATGCTATCATATACACTTAATGTTTTCAAATTTTCAGATTTAAATTTAATCTTTATTTTCATCATCATTTATAATCTTGTTCCTATATAAAGTTATAATAAATTATCGTCAGATTCTAATATTTATGATTCTTACTACTCAATTCAATATAATTATGTTAGTCACTCATATTCAGGAGAATAATTTAAAAATCTATAGCTCATATTTTGATAGTTATATATTTAGATGATATATATTGCAATTCCGGTTTCAACA